ATTGAGATTCCCTCTTACCCACAGTCACCACTCTCTCTTTCCCTATTCAAGACCTATTGAATTAGAATAATGCAAGGGGAGCTCATTTTCTACCTGGATTATTTGTTTTTTGCATTTCAGGGGGTTTTATGTTTGTTTTTTAGAAAACTCTCCAAGGATTCAGGGTCCTCATGCAAATTTGTCAGTGGACAAGCTTGTAGAAACCACATTTTTTTTTTTTTTACACCTACCTTTCTAAAGTGTTCTTGAGCATTGGTAATGTTGATGAGCTTTCATAAGATATTTACAAGTCAAAGAGTGCTTACTGCATTTTCTCGTTTGCCTATTACTAGGACTGACCAAAACGCACCTTGCATCCAAAGTCTGGAACTCCCTAAAGTTACACACGCAGAGACACTACAGCCCAGGCTTTGCTCTAAACACCTTGAGTTTTCTTCCTTAGAGACATTCTAGTCCTGACAATTCCACTGACCCATTGAATGGTTCCCTGTTCATAGTGCTCAGGGGCCATGAAACCTTGGATTGGATGAGTAACTTCGTGGTTCTACCCTAACCTCCCATCCTAGGAAGACTTCCTTCAACAGTCCGAGAGTGAGGGAAAGAAGAGCTGTCAGCTGTTTGTTTTTTTAATTCTCTTCCTTTCTGAGCTTTGTCTAGTTTTTTTTTTATCCTCCACATTTAGTCTATTTACTACTTCCGTTCTCCCAGCTGTTTTATTTCTCAGAAGTTAGAGCTCTACTTGGAAGCATTGATGAACCTTCTTGGATAAGGGAAAGTGTCCCTAAAATGAGACAAGAAAGAATCTGAGAGCAGAGGTTCCTGAAAGCCTTACGTTGGAGCACATTGTTATATGTTGTGTCTTGGTTTTCTCAGTTTCTACAACCTGCATATCAGTTACTGCTGTCCTTCATAATTCACTGGCTCTGGAATGAGTGCCTTTGATTTTGAAAAGGGACATGATGACAAAGCTGAAGAGTGAATGAAAAATATTAAAAATTTTAAAAGGATGTAGTTTGCATATGTAGTCAGCAGCTCTTTGCTTTTATTGTATTTTTCTGGGGTTGTTCACTCTACCTTAAAGTGAAATATTCATCTTCCTTTGTTTTATTTTGGTGTTTACACAAACTGGTTTAACAACTTTTGATTGGCTTGCCTGTGGGGTAAATGAGTGTTTATTTTGTTTGGAAACTTTCCTGGAAAAAACTTTAATCTGCTTGTATTAAACTCAAGATAAAAAACATCAGAGATTATGAGTAACCTTTAAATTTGTAAAGTAGAAGCCATGCATTTAATACTTGTTTCCTCTTTGCCAGTGAGGTGTCTTACAATAAAGATGAATTTAGAACCTTTTAAAGTTACCCACAGATGAGATTCCCCCCGATGGGGTAAGGAGCGTCACAAGGGAAAACTAGTGAGGGGTAATTATTTTTAATCTTCACCTAAGGTTATGTTTATTCATTTTTAGAGAGAGAAAGAAATCAGTGTGAGAGAGAAACATTGATTGGTTTCCTGCTGTAAACACCCCAGCTGGGGATCGAACCCATGACCTTTAGGTGTATGGGACAATGCTCCAACTACCTGGGCCACCTGGCCAGAGTGTACGGGTAATTTTTTGAGCATTAGTCAAAACTCAAAAGGAGTGAGAGACCAAAACTAATTTGGAGTAGTGTTTCAAATTTAGCAACTTGGTAGAAATCTACCAAACAATATTTTGGCAAGCTGCACTTACGAACCATTTTTTAAATGGAGTCCTGTAATGAGATTATGTTCTTGGGTATCTTCACCACTTTGTCCCCTCCAGAAGTTACTTAAATGTGAGTGTAAGGTTGCCCAACTCTGGTGGCTGTACAGTGAAGTTGCTTAATGAGTACTTATCTTCTTAACCTATCTGCTGTAGGAAGTAAGTAGTTGCTTATCTTAATGTCCTTGCTTTGTCCTCAATATAATTATCTTGCTTTAAGGATTTTCTTCAGGCAATTTGGATTCACTCAGTTAATTTGTCCCAACATCCTCTCTGGCCTCAAACTTTCCATTCCCCCCTTGCCCCCCGAATTTTTATGAGTTTATTTGAGCAAACTGATGGCATATACTGGGGAACAAGATCTCAAATGCTCCCAAACTTTCCGTCCTTTGGGGTTTGGGGCCTGTTTGCTTTCTGTGTTCTGAGCCTTTGCTCCTGCTATCCTTGTAGCCCCTTCTCATTCCATTCTCTACTGATTGCCTCTTCGCTAGTTCCATCTCCTAGGAAACAACTCTGTAAATCAGAGCACGTCAGCTTTTAAAAACTGAGCCCTTTTGAGAAATAACTCCTTGGTCCCTAAAGATTCCAGGAGCCTTTCTAGGGTGAAGAAATATGCTCTCGAGAATTGTTAATCTGAAAGGAAGCACAAGCCAGTAAAGTCAGCATTCAAACTTACCCATCTTCTTTTTTTCCCCAATCTTGTATATTTTCATATTATACATTTGCATAAGTTGACAATCTTTGTAGAGACTGGTAGGTGGCACCTACAGTCCAGACAATGTTTGAAGTTAAATGTACTTGCCCAGTGTTTCCAGCCACTTCCAGAGCAAACTCCTTTCTCCTCCTTGGCCTGTAGGGTCTAACATAACCCCAGAAAGAATTATCAAAAAGGTTTTTTTGTTGTTGTTTTTTAATTTCTCTGTAGAAGCCTAGCAAAATAAATTATTGGAAGAAAAGCAGTTACATATGACAGCTTAAAAACAGGACAAAGGACACTCACTGGCTGTAAAGAGATTGTTGGTGCTGCTGTTCGTGGTATTGGTTTTGTTTTGGTTTTGTAACAAAAGATACCAGGTTTTTTTATTTGGAAATTTTTTTATATCTTGTTCAAAAACTAGAACAGGGCCACAGATAGAATTTTATTTGTGCCTGATATTATGACTTCTAGGCAATTTGTCCTGGTTTTTAAAAGTTCCTTTTATGTAGTTGTGCTGTGAAAATTAAAATGAAAAACATTTTAGAGAGCGATACACCTGACTTCATATGTGTGTGTTTGTGTGTGCTCCTGCATACACACAAGCAAGGGATTGTTCTGGGTCACTCTGGTTAGTCAGTACTATATTGAAATTTGAGCTGATTTGAATATTGGGAATAACATGTAAATGAAGAAATAGCTGTGGGTCAGGTTTGGCATTTTGGAGATTTATATGAAATGTTTCTTGGAAACAGCTTTGTTTTATGATCATTTTGCTTGTGTTTGTGATAACAACTGAAACTGCATATCATAAATTTGCTTGATTCTCTGGGAGAATACTTGCTCCCCTATCCAAGGGGTGGCAGCACTGAGCACACACCATACTTTACCTGGTACTGTCATTAATCAGTTTATGTTCATTGGGGAAAGTGTTGCAAAAGTTATGAACCAGCCCTCTAGGATTTGAGTAGAAACCCCAACAGAAACAATGCTGGTTTTGGAGCTAAGAGTTGGCAATCTGAGAGTAACTATTTTGGTAGTAGAAAGCTTGCCCACACGTAAAGAAGACTTGTCTGACAAGAGGACCTGTGGAATTTATCACCGGGAGAAAACTTTCAGAAGGCAGGGTCTTGTGTAAATGAGGTCCTGTTCTAGTGCTAATGCTGAGGAGAAATAAATTCCATGGTGCATATTTGTGAAATTTTTAGTATATGAAGATGTTTCCATTTTCAAATACCTAAAAGTACAAAGCTAATATAGGAGTTTCTCTAATTTTTGTTACTGTTCCCCTGACTGCTCCATGTCTTTGTCACTTGGCACATTAAGCCCATTTGACTGGACATTGTACCCATCTTTCTAATTCTTTTTCTTGCCATCTTCCCTTGGATCAAAATTCTATTAAAGTTGATGTGTTGGACTATTGTATGCAAGCTCAGTAATTAGTGGAAAGTGTAGGCATTTTTGACAGTCTTCTCTTTTTACCTAAAGAAAGCCCTCATGCATTTCCCATGATACAATACTTACAGTCATTAAACTTGTCATAACCTTTAAGGGCATAATCTATACCAGTCTCAGAAAGTAACAAGTAGGAACATTTTATAAAATGATTATCACATTTTTTAACATGCGTTTGCTCATATCAGAGCCACTTTTGCATTTAAAATATAAATCAGCTCAATTTATATTGTAGATATTATTAAAAAGTCAGCCATTAGATATGGTCAGGGCAGATTTAGGGCTTTTAATTTCCTATGTATATGTGTGGTATAGATTAGTTTCTGTTTATATTACTACCCATTCTCCTTATAAAATTGATAATTTAATGTTTTTAAACATAAAATTAACAATTTATGTTCTGTGGCTCTTTTAGTAAGCTGTCAGGTTAAGAGACCAACAGACCTTAAAAGGAAGTATCCTATTATGTACTGAGTCTTTTCACATAGATATTTTAAATAACAGCTTTATTGAGTTATAATTTACATACTATAAAATTTACCCCCTTTTTAAAGTGTACAGTTCACTGGGGTATTTTGTTTGTTTTGTTTTTGTTTTTCTCAGGGTTTTGCAATGATCACCACTGTGTAATTTTCATCAGTCCAAAAAGAAAACCCCCTCCCCGTCCCCGTTACCAGTTATTCCCCATTCCACGTTGGCAATCACTCTTCTTTTTCTGTGTCCAGGTTCCCTGAAGTCTACTTGATCCAAATCTCGTAAACAGTAATTTTCCATGCAGTTTGGTTGTTAATGAAAGCTCATTACATTTCCTAAACTTTCTTCTTAAAAGTCAGAGATGAGAAAAATACCTTAAGGAATGCAACTTACAGGAACCTTTTTTGAAAAGGAACCACCTAGAATGATCTCCCCGGGTGGTTTTAATGTACAGCCAAGATTAAGAGCTGCTATAATAAGGAAAGTGTGTGTTTTAGCTCTTTGATTACACCAATATAGTCCCTACCTTGCTGGTCACTGAGAGTGATCTGTTTCTACCATTTTAAGGAAATCTCTAGTTCCCTTTATTAACTCTTCACTTACATGATTCCTCTGATGTTGTTCTTTCTTCCACAGCAATGGCACAAGCATGATATCATTGATCATTCCTCCCAAAGACCAGATATCGCGAGTGGCAAAAATGTTAGCAGATGAGTTTGGAACTGCATCTAACATTAAGTCACGAGTAAACCGCCTTTCAGTCCTGGGAGCCATTACATCTGTACAACAAAGACTCAAACTTTATAACAAAGGTAATCTGGAGCTTAATCATTATTCTCCTGCTTTGTTTGTCTTGGTTATGTTGACATGTTGTATTTTGATCTTGCCATGATACTTTTAGTCACTAGTGTTTCCTTTAGCCAACTTTCTCAGCCATGTCCCTTTGACCTTGGAATTTAACCTTTTGTTGTTGTTGTTGTTACTTTTTGAAAGTTAAGTAGTATTAGTATTAAAATATTGAGTAAGTTTCAAAATCCAGGATAGAATTCTGCCTAAAAAGTACATAGATATTTCTGCTTTATTAAAATTATGATTTAAAGGGTAGGGACTGTAGGCTGTGGGTGTATTTTCTGTTAATGGGCAGAAATTAGCTGTGGGTTTAAGTAGAGAAATCGTTTGTGTTCTTTGCAGTACCTCCAAATGGCCTGGTTGTTTACTGTGGTACAATTGTAACAGAAGAAGGAAAGGAAAAGAAAGTCAACATTGACTTTGAACCTTTCAAACCAATTAATACATCATTGTATTTGTGTGACAACAAATTCCATACAGAGGTAAGAAGTTCAAGCACAGAATATTTTCATCACCTGAAAAAGAAACCCAAACCCATTAGTGATTAATCACTCCCATTCTCCATTTTCCCACCCCAAAATCCCTCTTCTCTTGGCTACCACTACTCTACTTTCTACTTCTGTAGATTTGCTTATAGTGGCCTTTTGTGACTGGCTTCTTTCACTTAGCATAATGTTTTCAAGATTCATCTTCTATGTTATGGCAAGTACCTGTACTTCATCCCTTTTTATTACTAGACATTTGCCGCATTTATTTATCTATTCATCAGTTGATGGACATTTGTGTTTCCACTATTTGGCTATTATGACTGATGCTGCTTTGAACATACAAGTTTTTGTGTGACCATGTTTTCATGGGGGAAAGTATGTACCTAAGGGTGGAATTTCTGGACCCTATGGTAACTGTTAAACTTCATGAATTGCCAGATTTAAAATAATTGTATCGTTTTATAAGGCTGGCTATTTTCTTTATTTTTTAAAAAAGTAATTATTTTAAAGATTTTATTTATTTTAGAGAGGGGAAGGAAGGGAGAGAAACACTGATCGATTGTCTCTCGCATGCATCCTGACTGGGGACTGAACCTACAACTCAGGCCTATGTGCTATGACTGGGAATCAAACCAGTGACTTTTTGGTTCCCAGGCCGACGCTCAACCCACTGAACCCCCACAGGTCAGGGCTAAGCTTGGCTATTTTCAAAAAATGAAAGAGTTTACATTTATTACAACACACTGACAGACATCATTCAGCTTGTTTGAGTAAAGTGGTAAGCTGGGTTTGGAGAACTAATTAGAGGTGAAGAAATAATTGGCTATGTGATCTCCCTTTCACCCTGTGTACCCATGATACTTGCCTGTATTCCTTGAACACTTTGTTTTCATGCTCAGAAATTATAAAATCTTTAGTAACAGGACTGAAAGAGCGCGTGCGCGCACAACTTTTGAGTGACAGAACTGCCATAAGATGAACTTTCAGGGTGGAAAAGAAACCTCATTAGAGTGACCTAAATCAGTCAACAATAGAACAGTCAGGAATTTGCAGCTGGCTCCTAGTTCAATCTCTTGCTTTTCATCAGCATAGGGGAAACTCTCTACAGTGGAATTAGAGCTGACATTTGTCAACATCATTCAGTGGGTGATTTTTGCTAACTCAAAAGGAAATCCAATTCCAGTTGGTTCTTGATTGATTGTGTGGATGGTCAAGACTCTTCTCTTGGGTATAACAGTCATCTTCCAGCAAAAACCTTCATTGGGAGGTTCTCTGCCACCCTGTCCCACTCTCCTGTGTCTGATTGGATGAAAGCAGATTTTGAATCTTGTTGATTTAAATAGTACCTGGTACACATGTTATCTAGCTTGAACTTAACTCAGTTGGCTTCATCTTCCAAGGTACCATTTATTCTTGCTAGCTTTGTTTATTTTCACTTTAGTTAATATGTCAGTAGATATGAATGTGGCACATACTGCACAACACAAATTATTTCCTGTTAATCAGGATAATTACACCTTTTAATGAGGGATAAGTCTATTCCTTGGTGAGCAAACTCGTTGAAAACCTAAATTAATCAAGCCACCTAACAGGGATCATTTCAGTAAAGCAAAATTTTTAACGTGCAATATTTATGTCTTAGTGCTAATTATCAGGCATGGTTTGGTTGATTCTTAGGGATTAATCTGCTTTCTAGTCAATTATTGAAGATGCTATTTTCTTCTTAGTTAAAATGGAGTGGATAATTACTTAGCTCTAAACAGGCTGCCACCTAGCAATTAGTCATCTACCAAGTCTATGGTATTCAAACTCCATTATGAAAATTCCTGCCCATCTATGAGTCTCAGGACTATTTAACTATTTGCTCTTTCAGGAGGCAGAAATACCAGGGATACTGTACTAGCCCAGAAGGAGAGCTCTCCCTTAAAAACTCAGAATCATTAGCTATAATGCCTTTAAAATGAAATTGGGTTCAGTTCGACAAATAAGTGCTGGCACAGATACAGAGAAAAGGGAACCCTAGTGCACTGGTACAGCCACTGTGGAAAACAGTATGGAGTTCCCTCAAAAAATTAAAAATGGAACTGCCTTTTGTCCCAATGATCCCACTTCTGGAACTATATCCTAAGAACCCTGAAACACCAATTCAAAAGAATGTATGCACCCCTATGTTCATAGCAGCATTATTTAAAATAACCAAGATCTGCCCTGGCTGATGTGTCTCAGTGGGATGGGCATCATCCTACAAACCAAGAGGTTGACAGTTCAGTTCCCAATCAGAGCACATGCCTGGGTTGCAGGCCACGTCCCCATTTCAGGGCGTGTGAGAGGCGGATGTTCTCTTTCCCTCTCTCTAAAAATAAAGAAATAAAATCTTAGAAAATAAAATAGCCTAGGTCTGGAAACAGCCCAAGTGCCCAACAGTAGATGAGTGGATAAAAAAAGCTGTGATTTCATTTACATATGGAATACTACACAGCTATAAAAAAAAAGAAGGAACTCTTACCTTTTGCAACAGTATGGATGGACCTGAAAATTATATGCTAAGTGAAATAAGCCAGTCAGAGAAAGACAAACACCATATGATCTCACTTATATGTGGAATCTAACGAACAAAATATACTAATGAGAAAAATAGAAACAGAGGCATAGAAACATGGGATAGACTGGCAGCTGTCGGGTGGGGCCAGGGGACTAGATGAAGGAAAGTGAGGGAATTAGCCAAAGAACACATAGGCATAACCTGTTGACACAGACAACAGTGTGGTGATGGCCAGAGGAAAGGGGTGTGGGGACTGGGTGGAAGTAGGCAAAGTGGGTGGGGAATGGGGACATATGTAATAGTGTCAACAATAAGTTTTTTAAGAATTGAGTTTTGTATCTTGAGAAGATCGTTAGTGATGCCTAAGACGTAGGAGTTAAAGAAACATTTCCAAACTAGAAGATCTTTCTATAGACTGGGTTTTCTACTCATGTAGTCATACTCTAGAGGTGATTTACAAGATATTTTCTATAAAGAGAACTTCCAATTAATGCTGGGGTTATTAATGGTAATAGAAAGTCAACTTTTGGAGGTTAGACTTTTAATTTGAACATTATGTTCATACACTACCATCAGTCTAAATCAACTAGGACAGATTTGCACCTATAACTCTGGATTTTGTAATCATGTGCCCAGGTCAGTGTTCACATCAATATCATTGGCTTTTTCCTGCATCAGGAATTCAAGTATGTCTGTGTTACATATTTATAGCTGAAGTCTATAAATTACTTCATAAAATGGTTTTTCTATGATATTCATCCCATTATGAGAGGGATGGAAGGGCTCATATATGTCCTTTCAGAATTTGTCTTGACCCTGTCAGAACTTTGGGATTTATTGAATGGTACTTGTGTTTGCTTTTCAGGCTCTTACAGCACTACTTTCAGACGATAGCAAGTTTGGCTTCATTGTAATAGATGGTAGTGGTGCACTTTTTGGCACACTCCAAGGAAACACAAGAGAAGTCCTGCACAAATTCACTGTGGATCTCCCAAAGAAACATGGTAATATAGTAAGAGAACATTAGCCCATTTGCTTTGTGTTTGGCAATAAAGAAAACAAATTGTATGGGACAGAGGGTGGGGGTTGGGTATGTAGATGATGGGAGAAGTATCATGAAATTACTTAGTGGTGTTTATGGCTCTTTCGATAACAGAATTAGTAGTCATTCTCGGGAAACAACTAAAGGTTTATGCCAAACTAATTTAGTTGAGGAAATAGTGATTTTTCTCTTTTTCCTTGTTTTGGGATAAGAGCATGATTATTCAGTTAGTTTTTAATTAGCAGGGCATCTTGTACTTAATCATTGACTTTTTTCCTCTCACCACTTTTGTGTCAAAGGTAGAGGAGGTCAGTCAGCCTTGCGTTTTGCCCGTTTAAGAATGGAAAAACGACATAACTATGTTCGGAAAGTAGCTGAGACTGCTGTGCAGCTGTTCATTTCTGGGGACAAAGTGAATGTGGCTGGTCTCGTTTTAGCTGGATCGGCTGACTTTAAAACTGAACTAAGTCAATCTGATATGTTTGATCAGGTGAGAAGTAAATGCTCCATTATGTAATTTCCGGGTGGGAGTAGTGAGTGCACTGAGCACCGGGACATGCACGTCTTTATTTTTACTGTCTCTGAGTTGTTAGGATTTCAGGTGTTTATTGGGAAACATTCCCCTTCGTTTTTCTGGACCTTTTCTCTTTTGAAATCAGCCGTGTTTAGATAGGATCTTTCTGGTCCTGTGGAGGCCCATGGTCAAGTGGGTTACCCTATTTGGCTTTAAAATGGAGTTTGATTTCAAAAAAAATTAGGGCCTCTTTTTTCCTTTTTATGATTTATTCTTGGAGGTAAGTAAAGCAGTGATACAACAGAGCTGATTCAGCCAAAATAATTTAATCCAGAAAGATCTTTTGGTTTATGACTTGGGCTTGGCCATAAAACACATTCCCAAGGTGTTCTCGTTGTAAGGGGGTTGGTAACATTATAATAGAGGCTCACCAAAGAAGCTGTCTTACACTATACCACCTGGGATAGCAGGAACTAATAATTCTCCCTTTTCTTCACAAGAAATTTAGTTTTGTTTGTATTTAATGAGTTAGCCTCTTATAGGTCTAATACAATGTGTTATATGATTGGCTGGGGAAGTATATCCCAGCAGTGTTGCTCACTGAGATTTAATTTAATGAATAAATTGGGCTCTTTCCCCATATTCTCCTTCTTTAGATTTCAGTGATCACGTTGCTGAGCTTTGCATGCCATTAAGAGGTAGTGGGTCTTGCCCTGACTGGCGTGGCTCGGTGGATTGGGCGTCGTTCTGCAAACTGAAAGGCCACCGGTTCAATTCCCAGTCAGAGCACATGCCTGGGTTATGGGCCAGGTCCCCGGTTTGGGGCATTTGAGAAGCAACCGATTGATGCTTCTCTCCTCTTTCTCCCTCCCTTCCCCCTCTCTAAAAATAAATAAATAAACTTTTTTAGAAAAAGAAAAAAATGAGGTAGTGGATCTTGGTGAAGGTGTTTTTAAAGTACTAATTATGTTTTTTTGTGTGTGTCAGAGGTTGCAATCAAAAGTTTTAAAATTAGTTGATATATCCTATGGTGGTGAAAATGGATTCAACCAAGCTATTGAGTTATCTACTGAAGTCCTCTCCAACGTGAAATTTATTCAAGAGAAGAAATTAATAGGTATCAGTGAAATGCAACTTATTTACTTATTCTGTGAAATGTTTTTATATGTATATACATGATTGTATGAAACAACGCTGAAAAGGTAAGAGGAAGATTTAGCATTTTTCTCTAAGATCTTCCTCAGTGGAATCATTTTTAACATTTCTTTAGTTATTAGGTCTAATAATGTATTTATATTTCCACTATTTTTACTCTTTGACAACAGGAACCAAATTTTAGTCTTATTTCTCATGTTAATTATCCTCTGTAGTAGAGTGATAAAGAGAGAGCCTGAATTAAAGATTAGTATGGCCACCATTTGGCTTTGTTTCTGACTTAACTGGCGCATACATTTCCAGATGGTTCTGTGTTTGGCCCAGCTATTGCCTCTTTAGAGTCAATTTCTGGGGCTTCAACCAGTGGTATCATTTTTCACTGATTTGGGACACTTACTCGGTTTTAAGTTGGGTTTTTGCCTTCCTGATTTTGAGTGTAAGAGTGTCTATATCTATAAAAAAAACTTTAATATATGTCCTTGTTTAACCTCTCCCTAATCACAGGACGATACTTTGATGAAATCAGCCAGGACACGGGCAAGTACTGTTTTGGAGTTGAAGATACACTAAAGGCTTTAGAAATGGGAGCTGTAGAAATTCTAATAGTCTATGAAAATCTTGATATAATGAGATACGTTCTTCATTGCCAAGGCACAGAAGGTATGAGAATTAGAAAATCAGGTTGTTCTTTGTTACTGACCTATGTATTCAGGAATCCTGGGGTAGAGATTAAGCAAGATGGCTGATGGCAGAGCAATCAGAAGGCAGATCTGTACCTTTTTCCCATCTCTTTCATTCTGTAGCATAATTCTGCATAGCTTCTGCTTGAACTGATAAATGTCTCATTAAGGTTGTTAAATTTGTTTAGAGGAGGACTGTATCTTGAATGCCTTTGGTGTTGCCTCATGATAGGAGCCAGGGTACCCAGTAGACACGCAGTGCATGCTAACTAATAAAATATTTTTAAAAGGTTGATAGAATGAGTTCAAGAGCCCTTTCATCTAACCTAACTCTGCTCATGGGACTTACACTTCTTATTGTATGAGAACCAGGTTAACACATTTTTCCCCCCAATGTTACAGAGGAGAAAATTCTCTATCTAACTCCAGAACAAGAGAAGGATAAATCTCATTTCACAGACAAAGAGGTATGTGATTGTTTTCTTGGTTCAGTGATACATGCAAGGAAAGATAAATCCATATGTTAGAGCACTGGCAACATAGAGTATCCATACGCCTGGGAAACTAAACCTTACATTTGTCAGTTAAGAGCAACAGGAGTGGTCATCTCCTATGTGTTACATACCAGTCTGATTCCAACAAAGGAGGCCAAGTTGTCCCTTAGGTTTAAAGTAGTTAAATATTCTCATCCATCTGTCCTGCACCATGAAAGCTGTGCTGCTGTTTTCACTCACTATATTAGCTCTTCTACTGAAGTGGCTTCTGCAGGTTTGTCTAAATGCATCACCGTGGCTTAAGGTACCACTTACACAGCAAAAGTCCGTTTATGTGATCGCTTCCTCCAATTCCAAGATGAAGTTTGGTGGTGGGGGGGGGGGTTTGTTTGTTTGTTTGTTTGTTTGTTTTGACAAGGCTGCTCCAAAAAGCAGTTGTGGCTTGTCTGTTCTGGGCTATTGAATGCCTAGAGACAGTGCACAGCAGCCTGGCTTCTAGAGACAACAACAGGATCCGTAAGTTGAAAAACTGCGAAATGTATGTTGACATTTCATTATTGAGACTAGAGCCTGGGCAGTATTCTTTGAAATAATAGGAATTCTGTGCTATTACAGTTACGTTACCAGAAACCAGAATTTACTTAGAGAGTTTTACACACACACACACAATGAGAGGGAAAACAGTCTCAGGCAGGATTGAGGGTCACTACGTCTTGATATACTCTAATCCCATTGTTTCTATATCTCATGGTCACCCTGAAGACAGGACAAGAACATGAGCTAATTGAGAGCATGCCCCTGCTGGAATGGTTTGCTAACAACTATAAAAAATTTGGAGCTACATTGGAAATTGTCACAGATAAATCACAAGAAGGATCCCAATTTGTGAAAGGATTTGGTGGAATTGGAGGTAAGTGACCAATTGGAAAACTAAACTTAAAGCCAGAGTGTCAGGCCAAGGCCTTTTCTGGACATCCCAAAATAATGTTACTACTCCCCCTACCCCCCCTACCCCCAATTGACTTGAGAGAGAAACATCCATTTGCTGTTCCACTCATTTAAGCATTCATTGGTTGGTTCTTATATGTGCTCTGACTGAGGATCAAACTCTACAACTTTGGCATATCGGGACAATGCTCTAACCAGCTGAGCTACCCAGCCAGGGCCAGGGACATTTTTTAATCAATACCTCTTTGCCTTCTATAATTCTGCAAGGGAATTGGGCCTTCTGCATTCTGTGAACATGCTTGATTTACTCTTTGGTTTCTGTCTCCAGGTATCTTGCGGTACCGAGTAGATTTCCAGGGAATGGAATACCAAGGAGGAGACGATGAATTTTTTGACCTTGATGACTACTAGGTAGTCGACATGGGTCCGGCAAAATGTGCCTCACCCTCCAGCATCCAACCCAAGGAGCATACCCGTGGTGGAATCCAAACAGATCCCTGCCTTACAATTGGAACATTTCCAGAACTTAATCCATGAGCATTGGATATTGAAAAGAAAACCGAAACAAAACCAGACCCAACCCTACACTTTGGTTTGTCATGGTGTCAGCGCAGCAGCTACAACTAAATCCTAAATGCCACTTTGGACTAATTTAAACAAGAATCCCAGTTTTTACTTTTACTCGATGGTGAAATTGGTTGCTCTTGTATTTTATGGGAAAAAATGATTTTTTTAACCTTCATACATAGAAGCAAAAATACCTTAACTGCTGTAAACCTTCAAAAGTTAATAGAAATGAGATCATACTGGTTTGTTTCTTATTTTGATTGGAAAAAAATTAAATTGCTGCATTTCGCAGTGACCCATTTACATGGCATTCTCAGCTTAGACTGCATAAGAAGAAATATATGTGGTGAAATGTTGGAACCATTTCTCTCTTGGTCTCTTGTTTAATGTTGTGAAAGGGTGAGCTAATAGGCGATTTCAGTTTCTCTCCCTCACACTACCCCTCCCACCTCCAGACTGTCAGTTTTAAGGATGCAAATTGCATTGTAAAGTCAAGCTGACACATGAAGCATTTAAGCCAGTGCACTGTTTACTTCCATCTGTTTTGCAGACGCATTTGTGCGGGGGGGTTGGGAGCCTTTAGCATCAGTTAGTTTGATAAGGGTATCCCAGGATCTTAGCCTACTAGAAACCAATTTGGGCTGGACATGATGGGGCTTCTGTGCTATTGCTGGGATTGGGAGAAATAAAACATGCAATTTAAGTGGAAGCAAAGAAATTTAGAGAATATTTTATTTTGCTTGGGTCTGTCCTTGGTAAAGGGGAGGTGGTCGTGTTTTCCTTGTGTTGGATGGCATGAGATTATGTGAATGTTTTGATTTTTAAAAAAACAAACTGCAAGGTTTTTCACAGGAACGACAGTTAAAGACATGTATGGCTGCATGTAATTATAACCCCCTGACCTCCTGGTGGGGTTGGAGCATCTGTTTCAAATATGGGACTTGCAAGCACCTCTCATGAGAAATTATGGGAGGGGGGTGGGAAGGGCAGGGGGCGGGAAGGGATGGGACACAGCTTCTGGCACCAAGGACTTAACCATGTTGGGTCCAAAGGTGGGCCTGAAAACCTGAAGCTCATGCTTCACAGCTGGACTGTGAGTTGGACTTGACCCCAGCTGGCATGCAAGGTCATGGCATGCTCGAGGTGGTGACTGAACAAAGTGTATGGGACGTGCCCAGTGGTAGCAATGGAAAGAAGTATACCAGATGGACTTTGAAGGACCAAAGGTTTTAAAAGTCAATTGGTATCACCCCCACACTGATAGGGTAGTGGGGTGCATTTGATTTTCAAATTGGGTACTTTCAACACTTTAGTGCCTGACTGCTGTTCTTCATTGACTTGACTCAGTCACTTGTAGCTTTATTGGTCTGAACCAGCTCCTTGTTCCCAGGTTGCAGACCTGCCTATCGTTCCAATAATCCTGTTTCACTTGAATGAAGGGAGTATGTCTTAAATGTAAAGTTTCTGGTTCTCACACTGTACTCTGAGGTCCAAATGACTGTCTGTCGATGTGTAACCTGATGTCTCAACCCCTGGTGAGAGAGTCAGTTCTTTGGTATTCAACGCGGAGGCTTCACTGGAACAGGCTTTTGCTTTGGGTTCTGCTATTTGTTTGCAGAACACCCAAGAGCAAGCAAACATGCTCTCTTCGCAGCAGTACCTTAGGGTTTTGCCATTGTAAATGGGTCTAATGTGATATGACAAGACCAGAGAAATTGGATGTAAATTTACATTTTTGAATATGCTTGTTGTTTCACATGATACATTTAGGGTATGCAGCTCCTTTTGTAGTTTTTATTTTTACTATTTAAGTTTGGAAATGATGCCAAATTTTTGTATTTCTTTAATCAATGTGTTCTCTTCGGTGATATATATTGCATTATATATTGATGTGTGTATCAATATATACTGATATGTATTACACTTAACATGCAAACACATCAATACAAGGGGGTAAAAACCGTAGCCTTTGCATTCTCTATAGCCTCTACAGAGAGATCCTAAGCAGCAAAATCTTGGTGTTGTGATGTACAGAAATGGAGAAGAGTATTAAACCATATTTAAGAATATATACTTTGTGTGCTTGAGATTCTTTAGGACTGTTCCTAGAAAGGCCTGAATGTGGCGATTGAGTGAGCTCTTTAAGGCATGTGTCAGTTTAGTCATGGCTGATGCCTTTTCAGCCTTAGTTGTCTTTGTTACATTTGCCTATGGAAGGGTATGTGCAAAGGATGTCTGAAGTCATCTCAAAGTTCATACTAGAGGAAGGAGGTTCAAGTTACTGGGGCCAAACTAATTTGTATCTTCTGTAATTCCACATGCACACCAAAGGAAAACCTACCCTCACTGTTTTTTTAAGGCATTTCAAGTATGTTGTCCCATGTAACTCAATATTCCATAGAGTTAGATGATGTACTCCATTTTACAGGTGATGAAACAGGCCAAAGGGGGTTACATAGCACTTCAGAAGCAAAGCCAGATTTTATCCCAGGCTGAATTTCAAAATTGTCATTCTACATCTGGTTTCCTTTGAGTCAGAGTGGCACAAATGGAAGGACAGAAACTAGGCCTCCCACTCTCGATCTTGTATACCTGACACCGAGTAGGAGAGCAAATAACATCCAAGAGCAAGCTGGTGGCTGGTCCAGTTGCAGCACTGCTTCCAGGCTAGGTCAACAGCACTAGACAGTTAATTTTTCCTAAGGGTCGAGGTGCTGGGGCTCCTGTGCGGTACCCGAGGAAGTCTAGAACTAGGGTGGTACATGATTTAGTCTCTCCAGATTTAAGGAAATGTTTTCAGTAAAATTGACCCGTAATGGCACATCTGTTGCTTTGCTTTTTCGGCATACTTTGGCCCACAGTCTGATCTAGATAACTTTGATGAAACCCAGTCACCCTCTGGGAAGGGCAGACCTGTTTGCACATGCCTTTACTCATGCATCCCTACTTACTGTTTGAAGTCAGAAGTTGGAAGGTAGCTCAGTGGTGCTGGGCATGTAGGCTGTTGGTGCTTGCCTGTCTGGGCCTGCAGCACTTGCCATCTTTTGTTCTCTGGCTCCAGTTCTCATGCCATGATGCTCCAAGACAGCACAGTGGATTCAGGGCTGACTGCCAAGGTGGAATTTTAAACCTTGTGCCAGCTTCTCCCTTGTTGCCAATTTGAGTGAGTGCCTGTTGAGACTCCCACCTGCCAAGTCCCACCCTGATGGGGATTGTTCCTCCAGGGACATAGGGGCTGACCTGCCAGGGAGTGTGGAAGCCAAGGAGGTTGCCAGAGTTGCTAAGGACATGGGTGAACAACAGGAACTAGAGATACATGTGAAAACAGTTTACCTCCAGGGTTCTCTGAAAATCAACTCCAAACCCTGTCTGAGAACTCGATGGCAGGTATAGTCTGAAATTGCTTGGCAGGCACATCCTGAGGCTCAGTTAAGAGCCAGGGCAGAGTCATCTCTTCAGACAAACAGCTCTGGTTCTGGGCTTGTGGTTTTAGGTGCGTCCCTTTCTATCTCTCAGTTTATTTAGTGTAAAGAAAGTAGTGAATCTAAAGAGCTTTCCAGGTGTAAAACTATCAGTAGTATCATGGTGAACAAGATACCTGACATCTGGCTCTGCCAGTGAGATTGGCAAATTATTTAATGTCTCCGAGCAGCAATTTTCCCACCTGTAACAATGCCTACTCCATTATAATTATGGTAAGGATTAAATGCAGTAAGGCACGTGAAATGCATAGTACAGTGCCTGGCACTCAGCAAGGGCTCCAAGATGGGAATTGCTCTGACAGGGTCCCACCACTAGCAACCTCGGTCCTCCAAAAGAGGCCAGGGTGAGTTTGCGCTGGCAAACCACGAGGTGGTGCTAGAGTTAAGGATACTGGCTACAGAAGAAATGTGTTGCTTCTGGTGGGGAGAGTTGTGACAAGCATTACGATGTGCCTGGTATAGTTTGTCTACTCTTGAAATTTGGAGAAATAGAAAAGGCAAACTACCAAAGGAAGTAGGGATGAGTAAACAGAGAGGACACTCAGCAGTCTCATTCTGGCCTTCGGGCTACCCATCTATAAAATAACTACAGTCACTAATATTTGTTGTACAGTTACCATGCACCAGGCAGAGTGCTATGTCACGTGCATCATCTCATTTAATCCATAGGAAAAAAAATGAGGTAGATACTGTTTTGCATCTACCAGTCCAAGTTTATAAGCTACTAAATGGCAAAATCTGGGACTCAAAAGACAAGTCTGTTTGGTTCCAAGACCAGTGGAAATGCAGGTCATTCCTTGCTCAAGAAAGGAGGCAACAGTTGCTGGTACTGCTGAGAAGATAGGTGGTGGACTCACCTCACCAACCCTTGTGTTTTCAGAGACAGCCAATGGCTCAGATTGCATCTGGAAGGCACCCAACTAACAGCTCTTGACCTTGCCCAACACATCACGCTTTGGTCAGCTCAGCTTTTCCACAGCCACAGTTGAAGATGGATAAAAGGAGCTCCCTTGGACTCTATAGAGGACCCCTATAATTTTATCTAACATCTTCAAAGAAGAATACATATGTAGTGAAATTTCTCAGAGACTAGGGCATCTGCCACTGCTTTTAAATATGTTGCCAGCAGAACAATTAATGAAACTGGAATGTGGACTATAGATAAAAGTATTGTATCAATGTTAAATCTGTATTTGGTAACTGTACTGTGGTTATGTAAGAGAATACCCTTTTCTTAGGAAATACACATTGAAGTATCAAGGGGGTTAAATAAGACATTCATTTGTATTTTCAGAAATGCCAAAGAAAAAGGTAAGAGCATCATGTAACTGTCTTTAATGGTTCAGGGTCATCATGACCATCATCAGAACTAGTGTGATAATGAGCGATTCGGTTCTAACTGGTTCACAAGGTATGTAAAACACAACTTGCATTTGATTCTTTATTCAAGTTTGGTTTTTACTCGGAATTTGGGTTTGAGTCAGAGGTCAGCACTTAAAAGAGTTCTGCTAGAGGGTTTTTCCATTCAGGAGAAATCCTTACTCTGAATCAGCCAGTGGGGTTGGGGGCTGAGCCTGGGATTTGGGCCCAAACTGGAAGAGGAGCAGAGGCAGGGCCAGGAGAGGAGCTGCTGCCACATGCCTCAGAAATGAAATCAGCTTTGGGGTTGGTCGGTGCTGGGTGAGATGAGGCAGTATTGATACTGAGCAAGAGTTTTGTGGGGAGGCGGGAAGGAACCCTGGGGATCATGGGGAGAAGGCAAAGCTGCACGTGGAAGCCTAGCGCCCACTCTCAGAAAGGACAAGAGTGTCATTAGGCTAGTCCTTTGTCTTCAGCCACATCCTTATGTAGTTCTGTTGCTCCATACTTTCACTTCTTAAAGAATCATTTTAGCACCTGAAAAGGACCTTACAATGCAGTCCCCTCACTAAAGAGATACAAAGCTGGAGCCCAGAAAGCAATATAATGACCTGTCATGATCTAGTAGCAAATGAGAGACAACATAAGCACCTGATGTTACAACTCCAAATTCAGTGCTCTTGACACATGGACGATCTTGTTACTCTTCAGCTAAGCCTTTTCCTCCCCCTTGTTAGGAATGAGAAAAGGGAGGATCAGAGAGAGTCAGTTGAGCAGCCTGAAACCAAAGACAAAACTGGGAGAGGAAAGGTGGCCAACCTCCAGGTGGGGTTATGAAAGCTGTTTTGAAGTCACTTCCCTGTGAGTCAGAGTTGCC